GTAAGTATTACTAAGGTTTGGAGCCATTCCAATCTACCAGACGAGATGTTCCATATGGGCCATTAGGATGCTCGATGTACATGTGTGTTTATGGAGCCATAGGATTGTGTTTATTTGCTCCATTTGGTCTCGAAATAATTATTATTTCCCATATAAGTTTTACATAGTTCTGAAGCCATTCCTATTTGTGAGATGAGACTTGTCCATATGGGCCATTATGATACCCGAAACCGTACATGTGGGTTTTTGGAGCCATACGCATGTGTTTATTCCCTCCATTTGGGCTTGAAATCTTTTCTTATATCTCTTATATGTGGTACTTACATGTGGGTTTAAGGAGCCATACGCATGTGTTTATTTCCTCCATTTAGGCTTGAAATCCTTCCTTATATCTCTTATATGTGTTACTATGGTTTGGAGCAATTTCGATGTACGAGATGAGACTTGTCCATGTGGGCCATTAGGATGCTTGAAAATGTACATATTGGTTTACGAAACCATACGCATGTGTTTATTCCCTCAATTTGGGCTAGATATTATTCCTAATATCCCGTGTAAGCATTAATAAGGTTTGGAGCCATTCCAATCTACCTGATGAGATTGTCCATATGGGCCATTAGGATGCTCGAAACCGTACATGTGGGTTTACGGAGCCGTAGGATTGTGTTGATTGGCTCATTTTGCCTCGAAATAATTATTATTTCCCATATAAGTTTTACCTAGTTTTGAAGCAATTCTAATTTACAAGATTAGACTTGTACATATAAGCTATAGGATTATCAAAACCGTACATGTGGGTTAAGGAGCCTTACGCACGTGATTTTTCTCTCTTATATGGGTTTGAAATCATTCCTTATATCTCTTGTATGTGTTACTAAGGTTTGGAGCCATTTCGATGTACGAGATGAGACGGGTCTATATTGGCCATTAGGCTGCACGAAACCATACATGTGGATTTACGGAGCAATAGGATTGTGTTGATTCGATCCATTTGGGGTCGAAATAAGTATTATATCCCATATAAGTTTTACCTAGTCTTGAAACCATTCCAATTTACGAGATGAGACTTGTCCATATGGGCCATTATGATACTCGACGCCGTACATATGGGTTTAAGGAGCCATACGCATGTGTTTGTTCTCTCTATTTTGGCTTGAAATCATTCCTTATATCTCTTATAGGTGTTATTAAGTTTTGGAGCCATTTCGATGTCCGAGATGAGGTTTGTCCATATGGGGCATTAGGATGCTCGAAAATGTACATGTTGGTTTACGAAGCCATACGCATGTGTTTATTCCCTCAATTTGGGCTTGAAATTATTCCGAATATCCTATGTAAACATTAATAAGGTTTGGAGCCATTCCAATCTACCAGATGAGATTGTCCATATGGGCCATTAGGATGCTCGAAACCGTACATGTGGGTTTACGGAGCCATTAGATTGTGTTTATTCGCTCCATTTGGTCTTGAAATAATTATTATATCCCATATGAGTTTTACCTAGTTTTGAAGCCATACCTATTTATGCGATGAGGCTTGTCTATATGGGCCATTATGATACTCGAAACTGTACATGTGGGTTTAAGGAGCCATACGCATGTGTTTATTCCCTCCATTTGGGCTTGAAATCCTTCCTTATATCTCTTATATGTGTTACTTACATGTGGGTTTAAGGAGCCATACGCATGTGTTTATTCCCTCTATTTGGGCTTGAAATCCTTCCTTATATCTCTTACGTGTGTTACTATTGTTTCGAACCATTTCGATGTACGAGATGAGACTTGTTCATGTGGGCCATTAGGATGCTCGACATTGTACATGTTGGTTTACGAAGCCATACTGATAGCAATCTCGTAGATGAAGCAAATTCCATTATTGCAACCATCAAACAAGAAAGTACGAAGATAATTTGTCTATCCCGTGAAACTCAAAAGAGTGCGGAAAATTCACAGTAAGACGATCGTTTATCTATGGAATTCTATCTCTTAACTCAAACCAAGTAAAGAACATATAATCTATGAAAGATTTGAATTAAACAACAACCCACAATAAGAATAGTAAGGACACCATTCAATATACTCGATCAGTCATCATTCAAGAGACTCAAGAAAGGTAGGAGCAAACAATGCTCAACTATGAAGGAATACTATTGATTAGTAATCTCCATAACCAACAAAGATATGCAACAAATACACTATCTCAAAATGTTTATGCCTCAGCACAACTCATCCAACAAAAGTAGAACAAACCCTACAAAGGAACTCATGAACACACACATCATGAATTCGAAAACCATAGTCAAAAGAAAGGCTCAACTCTCGAACTACTAGAAGTAGTATGAAAATAAGAAGTTTAGTTTTAAAACAATTCTATCAAGAAGCATACTTGAAAAAAAAAACGGTTTCTGCAAGATCAAAAGATCCAAGACAAGATGAAAACCCTCTTGGTTAAATCATACTTGACACGAAAAATGGACACACCATTTAACAAAAATTCCTCACAGGAAAAACTCTCATTAGAGAAGACTCAAAATGACCACACATGGGTGCTTTAATTTTCGGCCATCCCCCCCTATTTATAGGCTAACAATTTCGGCCAAAGCACCAAAAAGAAGATCAACTAAGACTCTCTAATCTTATCTCACGTAGGAGTAGAAGTAGAAGAGTATATGATCTCTTTGACTCTATCTAAAATCTAAGAAACCTTATCTAAATGACTTATCCTCAAATAGGATAATACTTAGAAGGAATCTAAGACACTTAATCAAAACACTCTAGTTTAATTCAGTCGTCATGACTTATTTAACTAGATAAAATTCAAAAATTAAACTCCTAGACTTAGACAAACTCTAATCTCGAAAATCAGCTCCAAATATTGAAGTTAAATGTCTTGAACGCCCTTCCAAAAGTGGAATATTGGTCTTGTGCCCCTCAAGTTGTAGATAACTCCAATTTACTCCAAAACTTGTAGAATTCTCTTTATTGACTCCAAAAGATTGGAAAAACACTTGAAACAATTGAGATAGTTTGCAACCTATCCAATTGTGTAGCAATAGACTCAATCTTGAACACTTTGATCAAATATCCCGTCCATTCAAGAACCTAAATGACTCTTCTCTCTAGCTTGATCAATGATCTTCATGGAGCACCTAGAGTCAAACTCTTTTGATACTCTTGAGCACTTATTTCCATGAGTGAATCATCTCCTTTGGTTTGAATCCCAAAGTTAATGACATTCTCATCATCTTGATCACAGCTCTCTTGAACCAACTCCCTATCACATAGGTAGTCAAGATCCATCCTTTCTTCTTTGATTGGCCTGCAAAGTAAATTTTGCATTCCATAACTAGAATGAAAGACTAACTCATTCCCGTCACTAGGAGAATCACCATGGAAGGCTATATGATTCTTATCATCCCCTCCTTCTTTAAGAGGATTCGTCCTCGAATCATCAACCTCTAAACCTGCGCAAGGAACAAACGAGATATAAGGGTTAGTAAAATCCTCACCCTCACCACACTCTGATTTTCTCTCATTGCGTGCATCTTTTTCTGTTTCCACGCTATCTTCATGGTTTTCTCTCGCCTCAATTCTTACCTCAGCGTGACCCTTTTTACTTTTTTGTGTCACTCTCTCGACTTTTTCTCTCCCTTGTGTATAGGTTATCTTACGTATTTTCTCTCGCACAGACTCAGCTTCTTCATAAGCCAAAGGCTTAAGAATATATTTTCTGTCCTCTTTAGACAAAGATATTCTTCGAGCAATGGTGCACAGCATCTACATCTGATTGTCAAGGCCTACCTAGCAAAATATCACAAAGAGACATAGGAATTACATCAAAGTAAATTCTATTCCTATACTCACCAACTTGAAAAGATACCACGGCCTTCTTAGTGACATCCACAACCATCTCTTCACTCAACCATTGAAGCTTGTATGGTCTAGTATGCGGATCCATGTTGATTCCGTTTGCTATGCAAAATTCCTCACTTATACAATCAATACTCGATCCACTATCGATTACCAAATCAACTTCATTGGACCACCCAACCGAACACTTAGTACGGAAGATACATGTCCGTTGATCACCATCTTCAGTGCCAAACACCAACCCTTGATCCTCAATTGGACCATTCCAACCACAAGAAGTATCATGCTCTCTCTCCACTTCTAAGGCATCGTAGTATGCCTCAACAACACCCTTTATTGTTGTTTGACAACAACCAGCAATTTCAGAACTCATTGTTAATCAACAAAGTTGAAAAACCACCAAAAAGAAATAAGTGTGGTTTTGGTACTACACAAAGAACTCCTTGAACCCTTGAACCAATAGATGGCTCGGCCGAAATCCCCAAGAACTAAAGGAAGGTTCAAATAATGCTCTCCTCAAAAATAAAAACTCTCTTGTACTTTTAAGAACATTAACTCTTAAAAATTCAGAATAAAGAGAAGAATGCTTCTCTTGTTTTACCCTTGTGATTTCGGCAGCAAGAAGAAGAAAAGGAATGGAGTAGAATTGCTTCAGTGAAAATAGTCGGATTGCGATATTTTGTTTACATTGTGGCGAATGTACTGTTGGAATTAGTACAGAGGCATCAATTCAATTTCTATGCTAAACGAAATTAAAAAAAAAAAAAAACCAGAGCGTTGTGTAACTATTACTGATTTGTTGCGAGACTATTTCCATACTGAATACTTTTATGGAATCTATCTCTATTGTTGGTTTGTTACAGAGGAATGGAAAATGTGAATGTAGTTTAATGCAGGATAAACAGAAAGACATAGATATTTATGTTTCTTTGTTATAAACGTACATGAAATATTTATTACCGTTATATTTTTTCGATTACATATCTTTGAAGATATTCTTTATTATGCTTTACTTTACACTACTAAGTTTAACGAAGTACGTAAATCATAAAATAGACTGGTCGCCCAATGCGCGACACCATAAGACTAATATATAGATATAGTTGTAGTCAAAGGAAAAAAATAAAAATGCACAGATATTGATATAGATTGAACTTTTCCCTTCTTTTTTTTTCATTACCTGAAATTGATATAGTCGAAGCCTGAAATTGCCTTTCAACTGGTCAACAAGCAGTGAAAAAAAAAAAAACAAAAAAATCTTAATGATTAAGCATACATCTCTCACAGATAATTTCTTGATTTGCTGATTTTCTAATTTCTAATGTCGTTTCATAAATACCTTACAGCTGCCTTAAAGTGTCACAGTCGTAAGCTAAATAATACGGCAGCCCCCAAGGCTTGAACCATTTAAATCGATAACTTAAACATAATAGTCTCTTCCTCTTTCTCCGTTCTTTATGCCGGATGAAAACTCTAATTAGCAAGTATATACACAAAATTTGGCGCCATGCATTTGAGACCATTTTTTGAGAAATGTTTGCAACCCATGGTTCAATCATCCATTCAACCATTTCTCGTTTTCCTAGCGCTTGATATCACATCTTCTGCATCACAAGCTCTTTGCGAAGAGCTGCAAACAAAGAATCATAACGGTGAGATTTTGTAGTGCAGGAGTCAAGGTTTAATGACATCATCACTGCCCAGTGGTGAAATCCATGGATCAGCATCATTAACACTAAATTCAGGAAGTTAACTGTTAAAGAAAAAACCTCCAACTGACTTGCTCATTAGAACAAATGAGATTTAATCTTCTACACTAGTTTGGTTCTTGACCACATATTTAAGGGACCATACCTTATCCTGTCTCCTGATGACTACAATGTATACACACATATTCCCTACATATTCAGCCTGAAATTAATAACGTGAACCTCTTCTGAGCATTAAAGAGAATGTGGCATAGTGATTCGCACAGACGTGCTTTTCTTTATAGGATACAGCTTACCTTTTCTCATGAATTTACACATAAGCAAGCAGCTCCATCTTCAACTTGAATAAGTCAAATCTCGTGTGCCGCCCAATGGTAGTGTATCTGGTGTGTCTAGGATGTTGGCAATTTGACATCTGCATCTGATAAGATTCTGTCCATGTCTCCAAAGTGAGGCCATTTTTCTCTGCTTTTAACATCACACTTACTTTCCTGTTCACAAACAAAAAAAATCCTTTACCAACTATGCTAGAACATTCCAACATCAATCTACAGTGGATTTGAAAATTTGCCGAAGTCCACTCTTCCACAATTTGCCATGATTTTACTTATAATGGTAGCACTATATGCATCCACAAGACCTGAAACCCTGACACACTGAGTGCTTTATGAGGTTACAAGGCAAAACTTCCATTTCAACCCAAACACTCTTAGTTGTCCCCAAGTTTTGGCAGAGATCCAAAGAATAAAAAATCATTCTGATATCTAAGCTCAGTTGTTCTAAAACAAGCTTGGGACTAAAGAATAGGGAGTTGTTTTTTGTTGTTGTTTCGAGGAGAGACAAATTTTCAGTGGTCATTGTCACAATTGAGTCTAACTAGGAAATTCAATCTTTAAGAAGATGAAGGATGTGTCCTATTCGGCTATTACAATTTGGTTTTGATTTTTGAATTCATTAGTGTGAGCCTTCATAAGAAAGATTAATGAATTCAGTCTAATCCCCATTATGGCATCATTCTGCAATTCCGGGACACAACTTTTCCCCGTGTTCACACCTGAAGGTCCCTGGTAGCATAAGGGGTTCTAGGAGTGACACATAGAAAGTTCTATTTCTGGCAATCTTCTGACATTATTCTTTAAATCTTAAGCTCAGTGTCTGTTTCATAAGAGCCTGACAAAGAACTTAAGATCCATTCTACTTGACACACAGTCGTATCACCAGTTTACCGATATCACCTTACATGCAGTCCAGCAAATCGTCTAACTGACAACTAAACAGGCACTTGAATAGAAATGTTATCTACAAAAGAAAGGTTGTAATGATTAAGATATGAAACTTCTAATACAGCAAGAAAAGTGAAAGTAGCAGAAAGGACGTGCGACGGCATTACTCTCATATAGAATTAAGTTGCTATGCAATCTCAAACCTTTGGTGTCAACAGCATGTGCAGATACAATGTAGTCTTCCCCTAACCCAGTTGAACACAAATAAAACATTTCGTTTTGTTTATTTTCAGTTTCAAAAAATCAAAAGCTGTATTGAGAATGTCAAAAGAGGTTGTGTTGGAAGTGTACACAGGTGCATTTGAAACACTTAAAATATTTATACTCCCTTTGTCCCAAAAAAAATAGTCCACACTGAGTTCTCTTAATGTGGCCTTTTTCTTGGTACAAAGGTAGTATTAACTTTAAAATGAACTGTGAGACGAGAAAAGAATTTATTTTCTTTTTTTGGATTTAATGGGCTCGCCCTAAAGACCATGAATCTTTCTGCTCTTCATTCCATATCCGAAAGGTAAAGAAGCCTACTCTCATGCCTACATATGGGACATTCAGATGCCTGCCCCCTCGTTTCCTATTACAATGCACAACAAAAAGCAGTAAAAGAAATATGCAAGAACTCGCAATAGCCAAACCATAATAAGCTTCCATAATCCTTCTCTTTTTTTCTTTTTTTCAGTTGGTCTGGTGGCTACCTTGGTCAAAAACCTATAAGGCTTTTACTATTAAAACATAACAATGCAGAATCAGGTATACTGGCAGCAGTGAAAGAAGAGCTTAATGCTCCAGAATAAGTGGTGAAAAGAATGAAAATATAATTCAAACTTCAACTTACATCCAGATAGTTATGTGTTGGACTCGGACTCATTTTACTAAATCCCAGTTGCCGAAATGAGAAAACCATATGAAATAGAAAAGCCTTTCCATTTTCAGGTAGTTCCAGCATAACATGGGCAGTATAAAGATTAGCAGTAGCACGAGACTAACGGAAATATAACCATATCATGAAGAGAAGCAACTTAAAACTGTGCAAAGAAACAATTTACAACAACAAGCCTTTTGCCCACAACAGAAAACAATTATGAAGTTACCACATGTTTCAAGTCATAATGTAAACGAACCTCATATTTCTGGACCAAAGATGCCCACAGAGATTTGCACTGTGCTGGGCTTCGATTGATTCCACAAGATGACAAATTTGAAGAAATTTCTTCCCAGAGAATCATCCGGCCTTTGAGGACTTGGAATCTACTCTGAAGCTCACCACGCATTTGTATTAGCTTTTTAATTTCTTCAGGTTTCCATTTGTTCCGTTTCGTTGGCTTTGAAGATTTTAATTTAGATTGTGGTGGAACTAAATCAAGCTCGCTATTGTTATTTTCAGATTCATGCACTTCCTCCTTTAACAACAAGACAACTTTCCCTTCTTCTGAGTAGTCATCATTTGGTGACTGCTGAAATGATTTCCAAAAGTCATCCGAATCTGCACTATCTGTAGGCATCTCAGACAAATCAGAAACTGTCTTACTTTCACCCTCTGGTAAAAAATTCTCATCATTCATTGCTTGTCCTGCATGGATAAATAAATGAAAGAAAGAATGCCTAGAGTTAGATGAGTTGCATAATGAATATCTGAGCTGATCATGCATTCCTTTGCTCCGAAATACACTGCCAACATACAAAAATATACTAGCAGATTATCATGAAGATTTTATTTAGACACACATGTAACACCATTACTTGTTGACTTAATAGAAACACCTGTAGCAGCAATACCTTCAAACCCTTCTTCAATGATACCTCCAAAATGGGTATGTCTAGTTTCTTCATCCTCTAGATACCCATTCGGCTGTGTCTTCCTTTGATGTGAATCAACTACTTTTCTGAGTGTTGAGACGTCTGAACTATCACACAATCTCTCAGATAGTTTTCCATTGATGTCATCAGCTAAGACTCCTGTAGGGTTTTCTATGGCAATAGCAATAACTTCAGGTCTTTTACTACTGTATTTCCTCACTACTTTTCTCAGAACTTCAGAAACAATTCTTTCCATATGAGCCAGTGGAGCATTGACAGGACAACTTGATAGTGCAGCATGTGCAGCTTTGTGGAGCGCATCTAAAAGTTTCCCTTTGTCAAGCCATAAACAGCGTGTCGTAATTCTTATCTTCCCCTTCAATGGTTTTCCAACTACATCATTTGTAGCCTGGGGCCGCAGAATTTCCATACTGCACAATGAGAGTACTATCAGCAATCAAGCTGCAAGCTACAAAATCTTCAGGAGGCATTGTAATAAACTTACCTGATGACTATTATACCATCAGATGCGATTCTAAGCCTTTCATCAACACAAAGCTCAGTAGCTGTTCCAAATGCTTTGTCACCATCACTATACATTAACTGCAATTCAAAGCATAGAACAACAATTCTCAACTTAAATTATAACTCAGACTGTGTGATTGAAAAGCAAAAACTAACAGTACTCCCTCCGTTCCAAAATAAGTGTCATTCTAGAGTTTGCACACAGTTTAAGAAACACTTAAATAGGGTAGCTAAATTACTAGAATATCCTCAACCAACTCCACTAAAATAAATGCTTACCAATAATATTATTTCTTTTGAGGGTTTGTTTCGCAATTTTTGACAAAAATGCATTGGAATCCGAAAACGACACTTATTTTGGAATTTCTCTATTTTGCTAAAACGACACTTATTTTGGAATGGAGTACATGTTTGTGGACTGTAAGGAAAACCACCTGTAGGTTTTCTTTTCCCAAGGAAGTGAAACCATTTGATAGAACTCTTCTGTTCCTCAAGTGTGACACACCGAGCATCTCTCCGTTCTTAATGACCTAAAATGATGAAGTGGCAATCAAACCATTCAGGAAGATGATAAATGTTTTTACCATTAAATCAAAAAAGAACTGAAGCATAGAAGAAACTCCAATGCACTAATATAATAAATATCCACAGTTATCTCACACCATGGAAAGCTATATCCTGCTTGAATAATGTTTTTTTTCATGGCAACACATATTTAGAATACATCAGGTTTGAGAATTTTCTCATGATAAGAAGAAGAGAAATTTAAACTATATGCAGAATTAAAACAGCCAAAATTAGGTGACCTACTAGAGATTTTATATCTATATATTTCTGTCAGTGTTGACTCATTTTACAGAGTCATACCATCAAAGAGACCAAATTACTTACCACAGTATGGCGAATTCCAGTTGATTTTCCCAATAACTCATGCTCTTTTAGAAATAAAAGCTCCCCGTGAATGGGCAGAAAATGTTGTGGCTTCACAATTTTAAGCACTTCATCCTTCAAAGAGTTCAAACAAGTTTAGACACATTTCACATGATTTAATCAACCAATAACAAAGGACTAAATCAAAAGAAACTTCATTCTGTAGAAACAGAACATTGTTTGACCACAACAAAATAATATGAACATACTTTGGGGTTACATACAAGTACCCTTTTAAGTTATTCTTATTGCTTCTGAAATTTAAGCCATGAACCACCAGTTTAAGAATCACATTCAATCCCAACTATCTACAAGATAACACCAGTAACAACAATTTATAGCCTTATAGGCTTCACCGCAGTATGACAAATTCCAGTTGATTTCCACAATAATTTATGGTCTTTCAGAAATAAAAGTTCCCCATGAATGGTCTGACTGTGACTTCACATTAGTCAATTAAATTTTAGACAGCATTTCACATGACATTACCCAGTAACAAAAGAGATAATTATTTTGACCACAACAAACTAATACAAACATAAGTTTGGTTTTAAATGTGAGGACCCCTTTAAACCATTCCAATTGCATCTGTAATTTAAACCTTGAAACCACCCACTCCCAAACAGTTCAACAATTCAAGACTCAATCCAAATTATATAAAAGATAGCACCAAGAGCTGGTATACAGCCTGTATCCCAGTATCTGCAGTCGGCTGCCAGCTAAAAGATTGCACTAGTAAAATAAATTTTGTGAAGGATTTAAAGACACTAAAAACAAGTATTCTCTTTACCTTTCATTTTTCTTGGTTCAAAAGTTTTTTACCACTCAACTATTACCACATTGCAACTGCTATCAACAAGTCTATCAACTACATTTACATCCTCAGGAACAGTTTCAATAAAGTACCGCAAACTGAAACTTACAACCTAATCTTAAGAAAAGAATCCCACTTCTGAAATTTCAAATAACAAAACCAGTCTCTGAAAGGGAAAACGAGAAAGATCTATACATAAATGTATACCTTCTCAAGAGAGAAAGAGATATTGATAGAAAGAAGTGCAAAATTCAAGAGATGGATTCATAATTCTAGGACTTAGAAAGGGTTCATTTCTCAGGATGAAAGAGCTTGTTTTAGGGAATTAAAAGGCTGAAAAAAGAAGACAACAGCATCAGAAATTCATTATATGTGATATATTATGAAGGGCTGTGTCCGATGAAGAGAGACAAAAAAAGTGACTGCGCATGGAAAATAACATTCAATATATGTGAGGTAGAATGGAGGATGGCGAAGAAAACATATCAATTATCAAAATGGTTGTGATGGGTGAATGAGGTGTTGGTTCAATGGTAAAACCACCCTTACTCTCAAAAGGAGGTCATGGGTCCAACAAGGGTGACGGGTGACCCTACTCTTCCATTGCCACCTCTAGAAGTCTTGTTATGGAAAACCCATACATGAACCCCCGATTTCGCATCCGAGTTTGTCATCCCGGACTTGCCTAGGGTGGTTTTCCTCCCATTGTGGTTTGCAGTTGTTGCAGTGGACGTAGGTTTTCATCTTTGGTGGAGTTCCCGGCGTTACCCAAAAGAAAACAAAAAATAAAAAATGGTTGTGGTGGAGTGATTGAGATTTGAGGAAATCTTCCTATTCAATCATGTGAATAAAAAAGAAAAGAAAAGAATAAGTGGCTAGGGTCATTCCTACTTATTTGTAGTCACGAGCCAAATAGTGTGTTAAGGTACTAAAATGCTGAAACCAATAATTTATGGGAGCATTCGCAAGGTGAAGATAATTCAGGGAACTTTTTGCATGTACTACCAGGACTACCTATCTCCATCAGTATACTTATCACTTGTATCACAAAACATAACATTGTCTCCCTTAGGAAGACCAGATGACTTCCATTTTTCAATTACGAATCACAACAGCACAAAAACAAGATTCAGCTCTTCAATTCAGATGTTATTCGCTCATTAATAATGAAAAAAGACATTGCCTCCTTACTAAGATCTTACCAACTCATCACGATGAGCATGACCAGATGAATGTAATAACTCATTCTTGCCCATCACTATAGTTGATCCGATATCTGATATACGGTTTAGCATTTTCATCACCCGAGTTTCATTTCCAGGAATCACCTGCAGAACGGAACAAGCTTATGAAAAATATAAGGAGGAACTCACAGAACAACTTTGCATGATTAAATTGAAGCCAAGGACCATTTTTATTAAAAATATGTAACACAGTCACATTTAAAAATAAAACAAAAATTATTTATCAGATTGAGTATTTACAAATTGGAAACTTATTCTTGCATCTACACTGAAGAACTTGATGAGAATTATTAAGAGTTAAGGTTGAAGATGTAATGTAAATTTCCATAAGGGATGCAACAGAACTACAAAAGTAACCAAATACCTTGCCACCCCACAGGTTAGATAAATGACATAGGTCATAAACAAAGAATGCAAAATACATTCAATCTGACTTAGTCCCTCAGTACTTGAACAGTTAGAAACCCAATCCAAATCAGCAAAAAAAGAAGTAATCCCCCAACCTTATTTGAAAGTATAATCAAGTTAGAACATATCCAGAATGGCTTATTTTTTAGTGGTATCATTATAAAATGCAACAGTCCCTTGGCAAGTTGTTGCTGAAACCAAAAAACATTTACAGGAATTTCTACCACACCCGATTCAACTTTTTTTCTCTACAAAACCCACCCCTGAAGGCCCCGACTCAACTTTAAGAACTTACACCAATAAAAAGAATAATATTAAAATTTCAGCAAGAGTGAAGGCTAACAAATGATTGCCATCTCAATCGTATGTCAGGCTGAGTAACTTCTTCTGAAAACAACTTTTGTAGTTACTTCTGCACCCAACATGTTGGGAATTCTAAAGATTACCTTTGCAGAATACAAAATTAAATCCTCTTTATTTAGTTTGAGCGAATGGCTGCTCCCATATGATGCAAGATTCAGTGCAGCACGTGGTTCTGCCTGACACAAAAAGTTCCCTTAGTAAATAAGCAAAGCCCAACAACAGCATCCAAATCCGTAGATTATAATTTTTAGAAAAGCAGACTAGAATAAGGCGGTATTTGAAACAGGAAAAATAAATATTACTTACTTGAGATCCAGTGGTAACTATGAGAAGATCTTTGGGAGAATAAGCATCAATATCTTCAACTTTCACCTATCCATCAAACACATGTATCAGAAATGGAAAAGAGGAGCTAAAGTTTACCATCCATGATTGTATGTAATTGAAATTAATTTCCGCTTAAGATCAAACAATATATGTGTGTGTGTGGGTGTGTGTGTATGTGTGGGTGTGTGTGTGTGTGTGTGTGTATTTAGCTTGCCACGTGGATTATAATGTTTGGACACAAACATGAGCAAAAATAAGGGGGCCCACGGACTAAATGGAATGAGTAATGAATGCACTAAAAAGAAATTGAGTGCTGCCCCATGTAGGAAAAATGAGTACATTATGCTTAAAGTGGAAATGCACCCATGCATAGTTGGCTTTACATGCCCGGTATATGCTGTAAACTAAAGAGGATTATCAACTCAAAGAAGAAAAAAGGAAAATTGACTTAATTAAACCAAACAATATATCTTTCAGTAAAACTAGACACGGTGGTTCAAAGCCACCTACACCACAACAGGACAAGCCCTTTGCTGATTAAACTCTCAGAGCTACCTGGCAACCGGAAAGCTGTTCCTTGTAAAAGTAACTGAGACAGCGTGTTCAATGCCATTGATTCATAATCAAATTAACAAATTTATTGTTCAATTAATAGTCAATAAGTATAAAAATGTCACAAACAACATCGGCTAAATGGAGCAGGGATCCTTAGAACAATCTTCCCATCAATCAGCTCTTCTTGAGAATTAATTAGAGAGCTAAAATCTGACTACCAAGATGTTGAGGATGTGAAAAAAAATATAATAATAATTAAAAAACGCATTGACTTAAAGGGCATTAACTCATTAGACAACAAGATTAGAAAAGAAGAAAACAAATTCATTAGCTAACATTTCAATAAAAAACTTCACTAGAATGAGAGTTAATTGGAAAGGCAAAAATCCTAGAAAGACTACAAACTGAAAGTGTAGTTTTCCAGTTTTTCCTAACCTTTTACCACGTTTATGTCCTACATCATTCGTGAAAATAAATAAGGCACTTTCACCTCAAGGGGAACTGAATCAGGAGTTTCTTCAAACTGAACTGATTAATTCACAGCTCAAAAGAATACTTGGAGAGTAAATAAGTTTTTGGTCCAATTACCAGCGTGGATGGATCAATAGGAGCCTTTCCATCTTTCCATGCCGCATCAAGGTAAGTCCTCAGGGACATTCCAACAAAGACCTGACAGGAGGGACCGATTATAGTAGGAAACTATAGTTTTCAACAAGAACGGTGATAAGATCTCACATATCATTACCAGCTTTCTGCCAGTTGCATCAGCTGCAGCTTTCACACTTCCAAGGCGATGAATATTTGATGCAAATTGGGTGGTTATAACCCTACCTTCAGCAGCTGATATATGCCGCAATAATGAATCTGCTACGACAGTCTCACTCAGTGTCCTTCCTGGTGACAGTACATTTGTTGAATCACTCATCATCTGAAAATGAATGGATCTAGTTAAAGCACTTTAATAGGAAAAGATAGAGTGGCTATCTTGTTATGCAGCAACAACTTTGTGGAACTCAATTTACTTGTATTCAAAGAATTGGTTTCACTGAAAATTCTTTCAAACATGAATTTGCCCTTGAAAAAAAGTTTCCAAAAATACTCCTCGCAACCAAGTTTAGTGAATTTTTACTGTAAAATGAAAATATTATTCTTGATTATCCATTAGTCTCCTCAGGTCAGAAACAACAACATACCCAGAATATTCCCAACTTCCCTGGGGTCTGGGGTCCACGATGTAAGCAGACTAGTATTTCAAAACAGCGAGGCTGTTTGCATACGACCCAAGATGCATCGGCACATTTGATGCGTTAAAAAAGAGGCCCAAAATTTTTTATGTCCAAATCACATTAGTCAAGTTTATGATAAAGCTGGAAACTAAAAAGTTTTAGGCAGACAAAGACAACCATATTAAGCACACCAGTTAACATGAAACAGAAGTGCTCATTATGTCGCCTCCTATTTGTATAACTCTACACTCACAAACACAACAGGGCTGCTCAGAGTTAATATTCCTGGTTGTATGAGTAAAACTATAATGAGAATTCCTGTTTTTGCGAGAGGTTATAGGGAACTAAGAACAGAGGAAGGAGGAAGCAGAAGAGGAAGGATGAAAGCGTGGAGCTACAGTGAGCTCACAAAGAAAAAGGAAGCAAGGAAAAAGAAAGGAAAGATAGGGAAAATGGAAGGGGGATACAGGGAGAAGCAGTGGGCACATATGAGGAAAAAGGCATCCACATTAGCAACATACCAGTATATTCCTAACTAACTTACAGGGTCATCCAGGAGTTTAGAGAAAATGAAAACAAAAGAGCGAGTGAGCATGCCAAAATCTTCAATGCCTAAAATTTTTGTTGCAGTGTGAAATATTTTTGGTCCCATCAATTACATTAGAAACTAAGGATGAGCTTGACAGAAATTCAGCACTTACCAATGTAACGCCTTCTTTAGAAAGTTCTTCCAAAGCTTCACGATCAAATATTTTCCCATCCAATGGTGACTCATCAATCTGACACATTGGGACAAAATTATTTTAATTGCAGAAATGATTTAACACAGAGGAGAACTAGAAAATTTAACCAGTACCTTCCAGTCCCCAGTATGAAGAATAGTACCATCTGCGCATCGAAAAACCAGCCCACAACAATCTGGGATTGAATGGGTGACCCTTATTGGTTCAATCTCAAATGGTCCAGCATTAAATCTCCTCCTTGTTTTAAATGTTTTTAGCCTAGAGGGAATAAAAACCCCAAACTCCTTGAGCCTCTTTTTTATAAGCTGCACCACAAAAACTAAATAAATAAATTATGTTTCAAGATAACGATTACAGCCACAGCCTTCCAACCCATATAAGTATCTCCGTATGATCTGGTACATATTGGAGCAACAAAAGAATCATAATGAATACAAAAAAGCAGATACTGGGATCAGCTTCAGGCTTTCACATAACAATTGTATCAGCTAAAGTTTGAAAAATCATCAATCGGGACCAGTTATCCTGGAAGTCACTTCAACTAAGGATTATGCCCAACTACAAAGTTTTAAGCAGTTATGCTCCTTCCCTTGGGGGATCCCATTGAGGGTGATTGAAAAGGTAGACCAACCGCATTTTTGCTTGTAGCTCTTTCCAAGAGAAGTTAACTTTTCTTCTAAAAAGAAATAAGAACAAAAACCACATAAAACTGTTGATTCAAATTCGAATCCAACTTTCGAGCTTCAAAGAAAACGTTAACCTCATTCCACGTTTGAGTTTGAAAAATTCATTTTCTTTTATATATAAAACGACCCTCTTCTAACGAGTACCTTAGGGTTTACATATACCATGACAACCACAAAATAGGGCAACTTTAGTTTTCTCTTCATATCACCTTAGCAATCTATTGTTGTAGACCAATGAAATCTAGTCCCTATGAAGATTTAACTGTTTCCTTTATGTCGATTCCATAATTCCTATTGATCAAGCGCTACAATAAATGGAGACTAACTGAATTGGTGCAATCTGATTGAATTGAAGGTTGGATTACTACCTTCATATCAATGGGCATCACGCTTTTACCATTTTACGAATGACGACCCTATACAAGTTGAACTGGCAAATTCTAGAGTCCCTCTAAACATGTATATTGCATTTCCACTCATTAGTTGAATATAAATAATTGTACAATAATAAGCAAACCTCATGATGAAAACATAAGCACAGACCTCCATTGTGAAAGAAGAAGCAAATATAGGTGTGCTAGGATCCAAAGCAGGAATAACCTGTTGAAAAGTAAGAGTAGTGAGGATAAACACAACACTTATGTCAATGCAAACTATTTTTATAAAGGGTAAACATATACTGACATTGTAATAATCAGAAGTAAAAACAGTAGATAAAGCAAAAATCCAAACTCATAATGATCAATCGAATTATTTAGGCCATCCTCTGATCATATAATACCAACCACGGGCATACCTTCCATCCATAACCATACTACTTTTGATGCGAGATATGACACGGGCACAATGGTGCTACCAGACAATCCTAAATAAGTGACAAATATGCTGCCCCTAGGGTAGCCAACACAGCAGAGATGGTCTTTATTGAAAGCTAGTGTTGCTTCACTACCTATTCAGGTAATCGACTGAAGCCTTCTACTTAACTGAAACTACTATGCTACTAACAAGACACTAGAGATTCAATGACAAGAAGAGAAAATTTGCAAATCATACCATCATCAGCACTTTCACTGACTTCATTGCGCAGATTAAATTAGACTAATACACAAATCAAGCAACACAAAAGTAATTGGAAAATGCGAAATTCTCCTGAATTTAAATACTGAAAATGCAGAAAAAAGTGGAAGGCGCAAACGAGAAGCTTTACCCAAGGCAATGCACCAATGTGGTCTTCATGACCATGAGTTATGACTACAGCTTCAATTTTATGGCTCCATTTCTTTATGAACATAGTGTCAGGAATGATTTTCTGGACACCAAGTTCATCATAACTGCCAAACATATGAGAATGCACACGTCAATTCGAATCAACTGGAAAAAAAATAAAGGAACTTAATCAGAACATTTCAAATACAAGAACCTCTGTTGTCCCGAAATAGCGCAGAATACAAGACAGAACAAAAAAAGGTTAAGACATTCAGCAGAACTTTGATATTCACATCTAACAGAGATTTCTCAAAAATATGAACTTCTTTCATCATGATATTAGAAAAGTTCCTTGATGGAAACCGTAGAACATTGTCCAAGGACCAACGTAGCAAATCTTACCCCGGGAACATTACACCAGCATCAATCAAAATATAACGATCATAATTCCCAACAAGCATGCAGTTCATCCCAATTTCTCCCAAACCACCAATGGGCAGAACACGTAATGGCGGGCCATCAGAACCTTCATAGAACTGTTCCATCTTGCGCTGCACAGAATCTTCCATACTTTTTCCGGCACCTTCTTTTCTAACTCGACTTCTTTTACGGGGCACTTTTGTCCCACGTGTACCTAAAACATGGGCATCTGTTAGAGCCATCCCTCATCCCCTCTAGACCCAAACATTGTTAAAATCCAATAATAAATTTTTTATTTTTTTTATGAAAGTTGATTTTCCCATTGGATTGTAAGTTAGGTACAATCACAGGTTTTGTCAAAAGGACTATACAGGGATAACTAGATGTCAACACCAAAAAGAGGATCACTACAAAACTCAGCAGAACATTCATGTGACAGTGAGACAGGCAAACTCAAATATAGTTCACTCTTTCAACATCACCAAAAGGACATGCAAACTATGCAAGCAGTCTGGTAATAAGATAAAAGATACATTTTTCATCCAAAACCTACATAATGAAGACAAACAAGCAAACCCAATTTATTCAATATTCAAAAAACAAAAACAAAAAAAAAAACTCCCACCACAAGAACAACGCCATCTCGAATAAACAACAAAAGAAAGACATTATCGATAACAAAATATCGCACTTTCTAAGTACCACAAACTTAAAACATAAGGCGCAAGGAATTTATAGTAATTATGTTTTGTATTAGGCATACCGATAGAGGAAGGCGAAGGAGATGGGCCGCAGCAACAAACATACGGCTTCTTGGCGTTGGGTGCAGCTGGAAACGAGGGCTTGTATGGATAAATTGAAACACCATTGAAACTTACAGCAGCCATTTATCAATTTCCTAATAATTACCTACAAAATAAACTAGGAAATTTATCGGATAGGAATGATTATGCAAGTGCAGAGGGCTCAAAGTTACGGGGATTTAATTCTTCATCAGTATTGTTGGATTGGGGGGAAGAGATTTTCGAACTTGGGAACCCAGAAGAGATAGCTCGGTGTCTGTTTGCTGAAAGGCTAAACTGGAGCGGGAAATAGAGAACAAAAAGGGTCTGCAAAATATCTTATCATTTGGGTAAAAGTAATGCACAAAGGCCAGCATGAAAAAGATATTAGTTGGTTAAGTTTTTGGAGCTTTTAAGCCTTCGAAATTAAGATCATCATAGTGTAACTTGTTTTCCCCATTTTATTTCCAATTTGATTTTTATTAAATTTTCCTCCAACTAAGTCATGACTGCCGTTCAAAAAGTGAACATAACTTATCATTAAGTCTACAGTTACAGTTCCGTTCAAAAATCTTCGGTTTTAGTCAATTTTATTCCCGTTCATTTCAATTCATTTGCAATTTCAATCCAATTTTTTGCAGCTTTATTTCAATTTTTGTATAGTTCTAATTCAATTTATTAATGTTTAAGTTTTTCCTAAAATAAAAGGAAGAAAATGATTGAATGAAAAAAAAAATCAAGCAAATAAGAAAAATGAGGTTAAAAAGAAGTGGGATGTGAGAATTATATATATGCCTTTGTGATATTTTGAAAAAAAGTAGAAAATGAAAATTTTCTTTCATTTTAATGAAAATTTAATGAAATTAAGAAACCATATATTTACAATAACTCGAATATTAGTCATATAAAGATATCGCTATAAATCAGTAACACTTTTGGTAGCAAGATCAAAAAGAAAAAATACACAAAATTTTTATTAGTTAAATATAGGACGATACATTCAAGTTTCCTGTGATTTTATTAATGAAAAATAAATATTACTTCCCTTTCAAAATATAAGTCGATTTTGAGTAGTACAAGAATGAAACGCTAATCATTAACAAATGAATAAAATTAAATTTTATCTCTAATTAATTAGACCAACCACATATTTCAAGTATTTGTGTATAGGAATTCTATAAGTACCATTTAAATTGAAATATTCCATTTAGATTGTAGAGGCAATAGCATAGCAGGTTGCTTAGCTAAGTTGGGCTACTCCACCCCGCAAGGGGTTCATACTTCATATTTTGGCAACAGTGTACTTTTCTAATTGTCTAACCCAGGGAGTTGTTCAGTAGACAAAGCGTAAAATCATTAAAAAAAACAAATGCGTTGCTTCTACTTATGATCATTTACTCATTATCATCATTCATTACTGCTTCAACGAATGAGACAAGGATTTCTCTGTTTTTAACATCCAAGAATAAATGCAGGTATCAGTTTATACAAGCGAAGAATGCACAACGCAAACAGAAACCATGCTTCTTCATGAAAAGCAAACAATCACTGACTGGATAATTCTGCAGCAAATTTCTGTTATTACGGAAAATACAGAATGTACAACTGAATAATAAGAGCAGAAAAACCATTGCCAAGAATTCTACAATGATTCACACTAAATCACCCAGATTAGGAATTTTTGAAGTTCAATTGTTTGAATGATCACAGCTAGAAACAGAGAAGCCCACTTATGCATACAAATCTATGCCCCAAAACTTGGCAGGTTGATTTGTTCGAGAATTTCGGTCCACACCTTTGATCAGCTCCATGTCTCCATTGTCAAGCTCAAAGTCAAAAACCTGAAAATTTTCTTCCAATCGCTCAAGTTTAGATGTCTTTGGAATGACAATAGTTCTCCGTTGAATTCCCCAACGAAGAACAATTTGAGCTACTGTCTTCTTATGCTTCTCAGATATGCCCTGGTTCAATACATTCAAATTACCTGATTAATTCCATCTTTCTTTGTACAACTGTATTTTCCTCTTAATTTGTTCTTTTTTCCCTTTCGTAAACCCTGAATGTGGTTAACATGTTAAAGAGGAACTTAAGCTTACCTTGAGAATAGGTTCCTCCAAACATGAAACTGAACCAAACCACTCAATGTTTGCTGCAGCTCCACCAAGGGGTGTGTGCGCTGTAACAGCAATCCCGTGCTTTTGACAGAATTTGACCAGAGAATCACGTTGGAAGTAGGGATGTGTCTCGATCTGATTCACAGCAGGCTTTATTTTTGCATATGCCAAGCAATCTCTTGTAAGGAAAATGTCATAGTTGCTGCAGATAAAATTTCACAAATGAAGTCCGGAAAAATGTGCCATTCGAGAGTCTTAAAAGAGCAAAAAAGCTAGAGGCTGAAAAAAAAAATCTAGTAAACTAAGTTGCTTATTTTCGCCTGGAGCTCATCCAAGTACAGAGCTTATCCAAATAAAATTTGCAGCCAAATTTACGATAAGAATTGAAGAGACTACATCACCAACAGGCATCTTAAGAATTGCACAGGAAACTTTGAGAAAGTTATATGTAAACAGCATCTAAGAGTAGTTCACTGGATCAAACAAACAGCTATTCTAATTTATTTGCTGATGGTAGACGTGATAGTGTCCAGACAATTGTATACTGTATTATCATATTTAGCAAACTTCACAGTAATTTGCTATTTGTAAAAACTGATGTCATTGAACTACATTCAAATAAAAATCGGGCTTGCTCTTGACAAAATATACACGGTTTCACTACCTGATTCCTATGCTTCGAACTAAGCCCATCGAGACTAACTCCTCCATGGAATGCCATGTAGTTTCAAGTGATATTGTAGTGTCTATGTCCAGGACGCCATCTTCTCCCAGGGCACTTGCAGTTGCACCAACCCCTGTATGCGTCAATCAGCATATGGATCCCTTCTATACAATTACACTTATATAGTAGCCATAAGGCCAGTAGTATATGGCTACTCTCAAGCCAACTATATGGAACCTAAATGCTGTTTGGATGAGAAAATGCCGGTTTATCCACCAGGTATCTCAAAGAAAGTTAAGCAGAAAGAATAATATAAACTGAATCAGGCACATCTGGGTTCTGCAAATTTTTTGATGTTTTGGAGCATAAAATCAAAGACAAAATTTACAAAGGTAATTAAGTGAGGTGACACCAGGAAAGTAAAATTTAAGCAACCTCTCAAAGAGGGTTCTCCTGAATTAAATTCACAAACATCAGAGGACTAGTAAGTGAAACTCGTTTAGGAATATTACCGGTATGCTTTGTGGCTATGGGAAAGTGGACTAGGTATAAATCCAGGTAATCAAGGCGCAACTTCTTCAAACTGTCCTTACATGCCTCGACAACATGACCATGGTCTGAATTCCACAGCTGTAAAAAAAAGGATCGGACATGAGATCTATTCGTACCTACTAAACATTCCAACAAAATGGAAAAGCGAAAAACATGACTTCCTATAACCAGCCTTAGTAGTTATGAAAAGATCCTCTCGCTTGACCAGGCCTGTCTCAAATGCTTCTGCAAGTGCCTCACCAACCTCTCCTTCATTTTGATAGTCAGCTGCAAGCATAGTCAACTTGTCAGAAAACATTACCTTGGAAGAACTATGCTAAATCAATGGCATTCCTTATGTATGAATCAGGAATTACATACAACATCGTACATATTAAAGAAGAACTCGAAGTTACCTGATACAGTCAAGAAAACTTCAGAAACAATGCCAGTTTTATGTTTCAAGAATATTTAAAGAAAAAATTTCATGAAACAAAGATGATGCGAACAAAAGAAATCAACCAAGCATCCTACTAGAATTCAGGTAGGTGGGACAAATGGATATGTGCATTCTATGAGGCCTGTGAGGAAAATTTTACGACAAAACTACGGGGATTCTTTTATGGATCAGAATATCCAGCATCTTAGTGAATAAGTTTAAAATAAGGAGAGAAAATGAGAAAGCAAAACTAAATGTACGTACAAAATTATCCGGATTAAGTGATGAATGCACCATTAGTAGAAGTTAGAGAGTAGTCCTAATAGACTAATTAAGTAGACAAGCAAGCTTTACATGATGGAAATAAGCCTTTATATGGGTTCACACGAGAGGATGAATAAAAAAATTAGAAGGGGAAGAAAAGACCAGAAAAAGCATAGAATAAAACTACTTAAAAATTCATACAATCTCAAACCTAAAGTTTAAATGCAAAGGTGACCAACACCATACAGCTGATCTCATTCGTTTAGTGGCCAAATGCTTCATTGTTATTGTTTTGTTCAATACAGAATTATGCATTATTTAAGCTAATCTCCATCAACAGCTGGAAAGTTTTTGCCTAATCCGTCATTGCTAAAATACCAATTAATGATGCAGTTTATACATTCATATGCTTCAACATACAGTTGGATGCTGCTCAAATTGTCGAAAGAGTGCACCTTACAGGCGCCATCACTCAATACTGGGTCATCAAAAACAATGTAGAGTATAGCACTAAATAAGAATCATCCAAAAGGGTATTTAAAAAAAAAATCCGAAACAGCAACAAAATCCCAATGGCAGTAGCTACATCCCATATTCTGAAAAATTATAAGTCCGCATATTCAACTCAGTCCTCACTGTTTAGAAAAAGGAGGAATTAAACTGATACCCAGAAGCTCAACCCTTCAGCGATGAATCCAAACGCGCGAAGCAACTACTAACAGAACATAAGCATTTTAGACAAATCCACGGCAGCCCAGAAGCAAAACTCAATCTCGTTGTAGAAAACAAAAAAAATCACTTAAAAATCCACCCTTTCATTATATTAATTTATTTATTTTTTAATTTGAAAAAAAAAAAGAACCTCTTCGCCAACTTACACTCCAAAAACAAAAAATGGGGAAAAAAAAAAGTTAAAATTAACACTACCCAAGAAGAGAGATGTAAAATTAACGAACCAGCACAGTCAAAATGACGATAGCCAATATTGATGGCTTTGATGAGCAAATTCTTGATGTCCTTGCCTTCCATACGCCATACACCAAGGCCCATTACCGGCATTTTGAAACCATTATTTAGGGGAATCGCCATGTTCCAACTTGCAGAATAAATTGTGAGAATGAAAAGATTTACTTGGGGTTTTCAGGTTTAAGAAAGTGTTATCTGGTGATTTGGGACAGAAGAATATATATATTTGGTAGTCATTTTTTCGGTCTGCCTTAGGGGTGTTCATGGTCCGGATTGGTCCGGATTGATAGCAATCCGTAACCAAACCGTTCGTTATGGTTTGAAAAATTTTCAATCTGTAACCGGACCGGATTGGTGTATAATACGGACCAATCCAATCCGTTTTTAACAATTTGGTTTGGGCGGATTGGCGGTTTGAGCTTCTAATTGGACTTTTTCATTTTGAGCAAAAAATTAAATATTTTTTTGTTGTTGGACCTTTTTTGGAGGCTTTTCTTGAAATTTTTTGGGTCTTTTCAGCCTTTTTTTTTTAGGCTTTTCTTGAAAAAATAAAATAAAATTTAGTCTATGGGGGATTCGAACACACAACCTTCAGGAAGGTCTAATGTAGAGGGAACAACAACAATGCCAATGGACAACTTAGCACTTTCAATAAAAATCTCTATCCGACGCTATATATACAAAACCAATATATTATTATTTTATAATATATACGGTCCGGTCCGGATTGACAGACGGTTTCACAGTGCCAAACCCTAATTCGGACCGGATTGACTGGTTTTCAATTTTTTAATCCGCCGATTTAAAAATATAATTATAATCCGCCCGTTAATCCGAACCGATGACCGGATTGGACGGTTTTACCGGTTTGAGCCAAACTGTGAACACCCCTAGTCTGCCTATTTGTTTTGTGCTGAGCCCGCTATGCCCAGCCACCACAACATAATATATCCAAGAAAATCTATCTATATACTGAAATAGCAATCCTTGAGGCAGGTTTTCCCGCCCAATTTTTCTCTTCTAGAACACGTGTCAAGTTGTGGTGAATTCATTTCCCGACCAAAGTTCCTTGAACTGATGTGTAATTTTGTGGCTTTTTTGAATGAATTTTTTATTTTTCATTTCCCCTCTAAATACTGTAAAAATTAAGAACGTGGTTCTCCCGCCCATTAGCACATCATACTTTAAGAACGTGGGCTTTGGTTTTGATACACCCTCCAAACTCGCCTTTTTTTTGGTTGCACCGGGACCACTGTTTTTTATGTTCCATTCCTGATGATCCATTTCTTCTCTGAAAATAATTTCAAATAGCTGAAAATTTATAGTGGTAATTAAAAGAAGTGGAACACCTATTACAGTATTATGATATACATATGAATAAAAATATGACAATTTGAAGATTAATTGAAATGTTGAAATCATTGTTGTTTAAATTATATAAATATAATATTATAGTATAATATACATATTTTTCGAGTTGAAAAAACATAATTTTGATTAGGTGTTAGATCTTAAACAATGTATGAAAATGGTGGCTAATTTCGGTATACTTAATTCTCAATGTAAAGTAGTAAAACAGTAAAGTGGTTTGCATGGCTCACCGAAAAATGTACCACAGTTCAACCGCCCTTGCTTTAACCAATGGTTGTTGGTTCCATGGCATGCGTCACAAAGTGGCTTGCCTAACCAGTCATCATTGTATCTATGAAAATTTAAATACGTTAAGCGCAAGGATTTATGAGGCCTAACATATGGTGCAGTGTGTAACCATCTATAAAAAGAGTCGAAAAGATTGCATTTAGACAGAGTGTTAACTTACTATATTCTTCCAAACAGAAACAATTTTCTGTGAATATGGATGAAGATTACAGTACCGTCGATTTAATAACTCCTCTGCAGGATAGTTGGAAGATAAGAGTTAGGTTAATTTGTGTTTGGAAGCCGCCTCTTTTCTCAAATCCTAATGACAACGGGAGCATAGAGATGGTCTTAATGGATCATTTGGTTTGACTCAGCCATGATTAATTGTATATGATTTTTGCCTGGTTTTTTCTTCTTAACATTCAATTTTTATTTATTTATTTTTTATTTTTTTTGCAGAGAAACAAGATACATGCAACCGTTAAGAAGTCATTGATTGGTACCTTCATGGGGGTCATCTCTGAAGGATCTTTTAAAGCTATATCCCATTTTGGAGTCGCTACTAATAGTGGTAATTTTAGAACAACCACACATCCATACAAAATAAACTTCTTGAGGACAACACAAGTACGCCATTGCATCGATATTGGTGTTAGTCCTTACGAATTTGAATTCGTGTCTTTCTCTGATCTATTGGATGGCAAACTTGATGAATCATGTACAATAGGTGAAGTTATTATGTCCATCATTGTCATTTTTAAGTTGTTGTTTTTTATGTGTTATTGAATATGATTTGGAAGCTTTACAATGGTGTACGACAGATATTATTGGGGAAGTTGTTGCTGTTGGCGATTTGATTACTGGCGACAGGAATGGAAAGCCATCACGTCGGTGAATTTTTTGATTAAAATATGTAGTTGAAATTGCATTTAATTTGACAGTGATTGTAATTGTTTCTGTACTTTTTTCTTGGGTGCATAGGGAGGTTGAAATTACGGTGACATTGTGGGATGACTACGCGCAGAACATGACGGATTACTTTGCAGGACGCCCGGGTGGTTGTGTCGTCATGATCGTACAATTTGCCAGAATACGTCCATGGAGAGGTTTGTTGCCGCCTTTGGTTGTTTTGTATTTCAAAAGTATAATTTATGACATGAATGAATAGATGAATTAATGACTTTATATTGTGGTAATTTGAACAGGAACCAATACTGTTACAAATTCTCTCTCTCTACCCGACTTTTCATTGATTCAGAAATTGATGAAATTTTGGAACATAAGTCCAGGTAATCATTGGTATTTGTTTGACATTTTGATATAATGATGCATAAATTTTATCATGGAATCATAAAACTGATTGAATATGTCAGGATGGTGAATGCTTATGGGACCGATGATGCAATTCGTGCTGTTCCGATGCGTGATGTATCTTATCTTTCTACACCATCGTCCATTTCTGAACCAGATGATTTTCTTACACTTAACCCGAAGAAACGAATTGATGATCTGCAGGAAGTAGACGAGGTGAAAGTTGATAATATTATTTTGGCATTGTATTGTGTATAAAGCTGCTGCCGCATTTCGTAATGTTCCAGAGTTGTGTGGCTGTCGTGGTTGCTTCAATTGTTTCCATTGAATCTGAGTATGGTTGGTTTTATATTGCATGTAAGAAATGCAATAAGAAAGTTAATCCAACTATGGAGGTGGGTGGGTTGGATGGTGGTGGTGCTCCTCTTCAATCATACTACTATTACAACAAGTGTCAAAATAATGTTTCAGCTGTGGTGCCGAGGTTGTTATTGAAATGAGTTAATAGTGTACTCTTCAAAAAATATTTTTTTTTGTTAGTTATAAATTTTTTTTTTTCATTGCAGATTCAGGGTTCAGGTAAGGGTGCTTGATGATAGTGGAAGTACATCTTTCCTATTGTTTGATAAGGATGTTTATAAATGTATCCGAAAGACTGCTTTACATGTCAGGGAAGACATGTTGAAGGTAAATTCGAAAAATAATACAGATTAACTGGCAATCAAACTTGTGGTATATGTTTTTACTTTGTATTTATCATAGGCATTGACATTCTAACTTTATTAAATTGTAACTTGCAAAATGCTCTTTGACTCCATCTCTAACACGCTATTTTGGTGCATTACCAGATTGAAAGTGAAGATGAGAGACCTAAGGTGCCAAAGGGGTTGGAGAGATTGGTTGGTAAAAAGTTCATATTCAAAATTGAGGTGTCTGAATACAATATCGACAATAATTGGCCGATGTACACTGTGTTGCGGATGAGTAGTGAAATGTCAATAATCAATGCTTTTGAGAGTTGCTCGTCAGTAAATCAGGTTCGTGGTTTGTGTATTAACGCATACATTATGATACGGATTGAAGAGTATATTTGGTACATTGCAGAATTTGGTTGAAATGGACAGGAAGTTCTTCAAAGTCCGAATATTTTGTTGGCCAGGATGTTGACGCTGATCTTGATAGTTCTACTACAGAGGAAAGAAATATAACACCTAAGTGCTTGGCTGGGAAGGTAAAATTACAATTATATTTCAGTAGTTGTATTTTCTGCACTCGATCATGTATCTATCCAGATGTGCAATTGTTGTCTTCGTATGACATGTTTTACACATCAGTTCATAATATATACTGTTTTCAGGATTCAATAAATTCCTGCACTGGAGAAGTTGATGGACATAATGTCCAATTGATGTCCACTGCAACTAGCCCTCTGAAAAGGACACTGCAATTTGATGAGGACGATATAACTCTTCAGTCATCTTCGACTAAAGCAAAGATTGAAGTGAAGCTTGAAAAATTTTAGACTAGCATAGTCTTTAGTACTTAGGAAATTGTAGTTGGTTTTCATGAACAGTCAGTCATGTAGTTTATTATGTATTTTGGGTTTAGGTTTGTATCATCAGTTCTTGGTCTTTTATTTATGTAGTTTATGTATTTACCATTGTCTGGTTGTATCATTAGTGTGTGTGTTTGTGGACGTTTGATGAATGTGGTTGTTTTTGTTTTTGTTTTTTTTTTCTTTGAAGTTAAAAGTAGTACTTCATTGAAGATGTTGGTCCTGTGTTTTAATTGGCTGGGCATTTCAGCCTGCCTCTATAAACGAATTAATCTTCACGTCAATTGAAATATACGATGAACAAATTAAATGAATACATTATGATACCTTCCCACCTTTTATTTTCATGATTTCTTTTATATAATTGTGTAACATATAAGCAACCATTTAAATCCTGAATTCTAATTAAAAATATTATTCTTTACCATTTATATTCCTGACTGATTTATTACATGGGTTGAAGATACGGAAGGTCGGACAAAAAAATTGGGAGTTATGAACGGGAAGTTTAAGAAATCTTTACCTATTATGAAGAAATGTATAGAGGGAGGTTTCTTCAGTTTCCACCTTGAATTACGTGATTCAATGAATTTGACATTTACTCTTCCTCCTTTAATTACGTGACTCAATGAAGAAGACATATAGTTGTGCCTATATATATTGTTCTTTCCTTTTCTTCGAATCTCATAAGCAAGTTTTGTGGATTTTTTTTGCCTTCTGGTTTAAACTCAGAATGGATCAAATGTTCGAAGAGATTATGAGACGTCTTCAACAGGTGGAACAAGAAGTGATGGCACGTTTGGTGGCACTGGATGAACGAGTGAAGACCATAGAAGAAAATTACTCCAAATTCATTAAGGCTCGTGATGTTGAGACCACCCGTGTCGACAACTTAGAGGCACAAGTTGAATACATTGACAAATTTCTGGGCGCATATAGCGGTTGACGGTGGCACAAGATTAGATCGGTTAGTGTTTCGTTTCTTTATTCTTTTGACCCAGTTTCTGCCTGAGTTAGTGGCAATTTAAATAAATGTATGAGTTTTTGTTATTTGTGCACCTGTTTCTGTTGGTGATTTTCAAGGATTTATATGATAATACATTAAAACTCCTGGAATTGATTGTTGCTTCTAAATCATCATTGCTCATGTCTTTTTTGATAATTGGAATGAGTGTTAAGATAAAATAGTATTCACAAAGGGAGAGCAAATTGAGAAATGTGTTTTGTGAAGATGAACATGGGGATTTGCAAGGCCCACTGGATACCATGAGATTGGCTTCCGTTTAACAAAATGTTTTGGCATAGGAGACGTTGAATGATTATGTGTATTTTGAACTACTACAAGTAATAGGAATAACTATTTTACATCATTATCGACGTTGTTATGATGGAGAAGGCGAGGTATTGGGCTAATCGAGAAGAATGCTGCATCAAAATTGGGGAATAAGATTTAAAATTTCATATCTTTCGACAACATTTTTGTCATGCTATTAACCTAAAATAATTCAACACTAAATGACCAGGTCCAGACCGTTACAAAATATTTTGTGAGTTTCAATGGTTTAATTAACAATCCACCTTATTTGCAAAAGTATAAAATTAATGCAGACGAATTGCATTATATAATAAGGAATGATGAATTTTGATATCACCCAAGAATTTTTGTCCAAAAAAAAGGCAAGTCCTCCTAACAATATTCCCCCAAAAAAAAAAAAACTATAAATACAGCATTATGTATTTAACTTGAGTTCCATCTTAACAGAAAATATTGATTCGCTCATTGTTTTCAACAATTAAAAGTATTAATTATAAACTGTGAATTGATAGTAGGACCCCCCAGAGTTTTGGTTTTATCACCCATAAAACTCAAATTAGGAGTCAATGTATGAAGAAAATAAATTAAAGGGGCTACAATGGAAAATGGAAAACGTTAATAAAAGTGCAAAAGACAAAACCCGGGACAATCGGTTGGGTTCGGTTCCCGGTCGTACTATGTGTTTGATCGAGTTTGACCAGTTTGCTACCTGTCCAGGTTTGAGCATAGATCGGACCGGAAATGTGCCAGGTACTCCGTTGAACCGCTCCGAACGTTGACGTTCCTTTCCGTGTTTAACAACCCCGTTATCCCGTGACAAAATTTCGAATAAGACTGGTATGATATCATGTATAAGTTTTAATCTAAACTATATACGTGTCTAAAATTTTAAAGTTATTAGCGTGAAGTTATAATTTTTAATGTTAAATGTACATAAACAATTAGAATAAAAGGTAAGATAAGATAATAAATTCATTGACATAAATATGTTTATAATTGTAATTTCCATTTGAACTAATTCATTGTTATTTTATTTAAAAATCATGTTTCTCACCTTTGATAATTATTGATATACGATCAAAATTTGTGTATCAGAGAATTGTAAAACTGAAATTAGCAATCAATGTTGGAAGAAAAATAAGTAAAAGGGGCTACATGGAAAAATGTAAAAGTTAAAATAAATTGAAAAATACTAAAGCCGGGCCAACCGGTTGAGTCCGGTTCCCTGTCGTACTGTGGGTTAGACCGAGTTTGAGCAATTTGCTACGTGAACGGTTTTGCGCATAGATCGGACCAGAATTGTTCCCGGTATGCGGTTGAACCGGTTCAAACGTGACATTCCGGCCCGTGTTTAACAACATTGGAATCGACATAACTCCTGTTTTGCATGGCATTTGGCCTAATCTTATTTATAGCAAAATCATAAAAGTTGAAATGTTATGTGTAATTGGTACAAGTGATGCTGCAGGAAAAGGCTGAGCCCAATTGTTGATAAAGGCGGATAATTTGGTCTCCTAATATAAACGAGCCAAATCATCACGTTCTTACTAGCGGTAAGGTCTTATTCAGTATGGATATTTCCCATTCGAAAATGAATTGAACTTTGTAAACAAAGGAATTTCATTTATTTTTTTTCCCCAAGTTTATAATACGGCACTTTATATAGCAAAACCATCAAATGGATGTACCATTGGCGACTGATATGTATGGCATATTCTTAATTGATCTGTGCCTTAATGTAATTGGATTAGCACTTACTTCAATTGTTTTTTTTTTTACATAAAATTCTGACGACTCATGATATTTAATTTTCTCCTCAAGAAACAAAGACAAACAAAAAAATGATAAATTTGTACTAATTTGATGTATCTTTCACTTCCGTTTAATCATTATCATCTAAAATATTGTAACAAATACCAACTTTGATTCTTCCCCTTAACTATACAGTGGTGTGTACTAAAACTTCCATGGAAGTGGACATTTACCAGCCTGTTCTTACTTTGTTAATATCGTTGTTTTTCATATTAATATCGCTTGAAAACGAATCAAAATGTGATCATATTGCATGCAGTGATTCCCCAATATCTTTTGAGTATATCTGATACGTGAAAAAATATACATCAACATCGGGAAGGTATGCAACCTTTGATGGTTATCGTACAACACATCCTCACATTTCATATTTGGCGACTCATCAATTAATTACCTGTCTGGAAAATAGATCTTTTTTCAATGCAAGTGATCATTGATTGTGTAAGAATGATGAAGTGGCCAGTTTTTGTTACCAGTTTATAATGGGAGAAGTGAGATTGTGTAAAAATTGCGTTTTATTCTATTAAAAAAATTCACGGTGTAGACTATGTATAACAGAGGTTGCTTCACCATCAAAACTACCATTACTGTAACCATTAAATCCACATATACATTTTTGACAAAAGAAAACTATATTGTATGATTTTTTTTTGATGAACAGAATTTATGCTCATTGAAGATGGCTTCAGTTATGATGTAGTTAAATTTTGAAAGTTGGTTTACATACGCCGGCCACAATTATATAATTGGGATTACCTTATGTTTGCATGCAGCTGAAAACTGCCTTGGTTCCATCGCTTTGGAATCATGATTCTACATTCTTTTCATTTGCATGTCTCGGACTATGTTTTAGACGGTATTTTAATCCTGTTTTGATGCATGTAGGCTCCTATAATGGCCATTATAACCTACCACCTATGTCTCTGTTAGTCAAGTTGCCTACCATGGCTGATATATCTCTTTTGGACAACATACCCAAGGGCGGGAGAATTAAATATTCCTTAGTTGCCGATGGAATTTTTGCATGTACATACTTCCAAAAAATGTAATGTGGCATTAATCATCCCCACTAAGTTTGGACATGTCAGCCTTCCATATTCTGATTCTCGGATAGGTTATAAATAGGACACGATTTAATTGAGCCCTTTACGATATCAGAGTAAACCATATCTTTTTTTGAACTAGTTTGTAAGGTTTAACTATCCTATGTCTTCTCTCTTTTGTGGCCAGACTCACATCTACCATTTCCATCATTGATTCATTCATCTTCATTTTCCAATCATTGTATTTTGGTGAAATGGCAAACCCAAGTCATGGCCATCAGTGTGTTGATTTCCTAACTAACCTTCCAACAGAACTCGTGGAAGAGATTATGATGAGGGTGGATCTTCCAACTGTTGGAAGAGCACGTTGCGTTCAGAAGTCTTGGAGAGCTATGTGGTCATACTTTGATTTCTGTTTTCGTTTTTGCAAGGTGGCCGTTTCAAATGGTCCTGCGTCCTTGCTATTTATACGCCAAAAAAACTTATACACCTCTCCATTTCCCAAAAAAATGAACTTTGTAGTTGTCAACACAGATGATAACACTTTTCGTATGTGTTGTAAGTCCAATCTTCTTTCTCTACACCCTTGGTTTGTGTAGGAAATTCTTCCAATTACCAGCCAATTGGTCTGCATGAGGTTGCAATCCCAACTTGTCATTTTGAATCCTCAGACCGGTCAACAATGCATCATTCCTGCGCCATTTTGTCCTTCATTGTTGGAGCATTATTGGACTGTCACTTTCGATTACATCGATTCAATGGCCATATACTGCATTGTTGCTTTAAGGCAGTTGCCAAATGGAAGAATGTATGCTAAGTATTTGTCTTGGATGCCATATGAATCCCTCAATGGTGTCGTTTATGGGTCCTGGAAAGTCATCTATTCCTTATGTCCTCGTGTTGTTATGCCAGAAGGTCTTTTTGTTGGTGACACGGTGTATTGGTGCATCAACAAGCTCATCCATTGGCCAGTTATTCAAATCAACAGGAGGGAACTCCTTATAGCTTTCAGTTGTTCAAGCCAAACATTCAACATTATCCAGTCCCCCAATGATGAACGATGGAAGATGTATCCTTTTGGTTTCCATAATAGCACCAAGCTTTTGAATTTGATGGGCAAACTGTGCATAGTTGATGAAGAATTTATAAGTTTGACTGCCCTGTTTCAAGTGTGGGAATTGAGAAATGATGGTGAGGAAAATCTGGGGTATCATTGGCGTAAGTTACGTAATGTCATGCTAGATTTCACTCCTCCAACAGTACCTGGATTAATGGTCGGGCCATTTATGCGTCATTGGAAGCGTCCTGTATTTCTTTGTCCAAAGTCATCAGACAAAGGAGACTTTGTTGTTGCTGGTCCTGATCGGTATCAGTTTTACATTTATAATCCTGTCAAATCTAGGTTTACTTTGCACGTGAAGCCAGGAATGATACAAGCAATGGACCATGTAGCCGCTGGTTTCTTCTGGCGTAGTTTAGTGAGGATTTGAATTATGGGTGCAATGTTAGGCTAATATTTTGACATGCTTTTGCTATAATTAGTCGTGTATCATAGGCAGAACGACTATGTATTAGCCTAATCTTTTGTCAGTTTTATGCCGCCATGTTTTACTTTGGTTTTATGTAATGTTGTAGTTTGTTTATGTAATTCTAATGTGTCATTTTCATATCATTCTTATTTGGCAGTTACATTTTTATTATTAATCATAGTGAATGTAAAAACCTAACTCCAAAGATGAAGTCAAGTGAGCAATCAAATCATCATAAATCGAAAGTCTAAGTTGAATGATAAATCGAAAGTCTAAGAATATTAACAGTTATAAGGTTTAATGTAGATACCAGGCATACTTACCATTAGTTGAATAGAAGAATATTGATTCACTTTACTATACATTTAATTGTAATAATATATCCACTCCATGACTGAATTCCAAAACTTCATGCAATACTTACTTGACGTCGTGTGTTTGAAAATAACTCGTACGTTTTCCCATTTTAAATTCACATATGCAAAAGGCCATAATGCATGTAATTTGCAGTGACGGGTCAAACGTTTTTAGGTGCCTAATGTGAGTTCTAAAATATAGACTTTTGATAACAACGAAACTGAAAGTAGGTTACAAAAAATTAACCCTCTTCATTATTATTTACTTGGGACTGACAACTATAAATCCGCGAGTCTATTTCCAACGAAGTTAAATTTCTTTTCTCCACATATTATTCATACTAAGTTTATCTATCTAGATTTTTTGTTGTAAATTTTCGTTTATAATAAGTTGATTTTCTTCATTTTTCGGTGTTAAATTTCGTGATCTATCTCTTTCACCAAATTTTATTTTATTCACATAATAGGAATTCCGGTTCATATGTCTTCTCACATTGTCGATTTTAAATAAATTTTGGTTAATTTAATTTTTACAAAAAAACTTCATGCTGAACCAATTCTTATGGGAGTAGTTTAAATTATCTTATAGGCAATAGAAGAATTTACAGTAACTTAAAGTCTCTTAAAATAAGTAATTAATTCAACTTGATCATTATTCTTAACATTTACATTTTTTCTTTTCTTTTCTACATTTACATTTTCCCTTCTAAATTTTAGTTCATAAAATAAAATGCACGCATGAATATCTAAACTATCATTGTGTATCAGGAGTTTTGAAGGTTAAAAAATATTTTTCTCTAAATTTTCTTTATCGTGTGTTATGTAGCTTAAAAAAATTATTTTTAATTAAGAATTATATATGTTTTTTTATTTAAAAGTTTATTATTTTTTCTTCTTTTACGAATAGTAGGACAATAATTAAAAGGTTGCATGAAATGAAATGTAGTTCGAAAATAAAACTGAGGAAGTGTGGTGAAGCGGGGGGTTTTTTTGGTTTGCGCATTGCAAACGCGATATCATGTCTTTCTTCTATAAAGCGGGAGTCCAAGTCCTGGACTCGTGCTTCAAGCTGAGGCTAAACAATGGGCATTGATATACAAGTCTTAAATGAAGGACGAATTCAGTCATATATTCAATCATTGAACAATGTTTCATATAAATGTTTTAAGGAAATAAAGTGGAGTTATTCTGTTTAACATTAATTGGGTATCCTACGGCATTTCGTCATGATTATGTTTTGTTTTTTATCCAGATGGAGGTGTCATGCAAGATACGGTAACTACTCAATTTCGTCCCCATTTTCCTATACTGTCTGTTCCTTCTAATTTCTGTTTTCCAAGTTGATACTCAGTTTGAATTTTTTTCTTTTTCCGATTTTGCAGATTCATAATTGTCCAAAAAAATATATACACCACTTATTAAAAAAAACTACGACATTGGAAAATGGTGATAGTTTGTATGAGTTTCTATCTTCTAAAATGTATATATTATACTCCCTCTATTCCAAAATAATTGTCCAGTTTGAGATTTCAGTTTTAGTACAATTTGAACTACAAATGAAAAGTCAAAGTGGACAATAATTATGGGACAGAAGGACTAAAATTAATGTCGTTCACATTTAAATATTTGTTACTTTGGGAAATTTCATTTTAGGGGTGTTGTAAATTTTGAAATTATATATTGGGATATACACCGTCAAAAATTCCTTTACAGGGTGTCTCATCATTTAAATGACGTCATATAAAAATTTCGGTTAATTTAAGTTTGACAAAAAAACTTCCTGCTGAACAAATTCTTATGGGAGTAGTTTAAATTATCGTATAGGCAATGGAAGAATTTACAGTAAGTTTAAGTCTCTTAAAACAATGAATTAATTCAACTCAATTATTATTCTTAACATTTACATTTTTTGCTTTTCTTTTCTACATTTACATTTTCCTTTCTAATTTTTAGTTCGTAAAATAAAACGAACGCATGAATATCTAAACTATCATTGTGTATAAGGAGTTTTGAAGGTTAACAAAAATTTTTCTCTAAATGTTCGTGATCGTGTGTGTTACGTAGCTTAAAATAATTGCTTTTAATTAAGAATTATATATGTTTTTTGATTTAAAAGTTTATTATTTTTTCTTCTTTTACGAATAGTGGGACAACAATTAAAAAGTTGCATGAAATGAAATGTAGTTCGATAATAAAACATGAAGTGTGGTCAACCGGGGTACTTTTTTTTGGTTCACGCACTGCAAACGGGAGATCATGTCTTTCTTCTATAAAGCGGGAGTCCAAGTCCTGGACTCTCGCTTAAAGTTGAGGGTAAATAATGAGCATTCATGTACAAGTCTAACTATTCAATTTAGTCCCCATTTTCCTATACTGTCTGTTCCTCAATTTCCCAACACTGTTTAACGCATAATACCTTCTAATTCCCGTTTTCCAAGTTGATACTCAGTTTGAATTTTTTCTTTTTTCGATTTTGCAGATTCTTAATTGTCAACAAAATATATACACCACTTATTAATTAAAACTACAACATTGGAAAATGGTGATAGTTTGTATGACTCTCTCTCTTCTAAAATGTATATGATATATTTCCTCTATTCCATAATTATTGTCCAGTTTGAGATTTTAGTTTTAGTATAATTTGAACTACAAATAAAAAGTTAAAGTGGACAATAATTATGCGACGGAAGGAGTAAAATTAATGTCGTTTACATTTACATATTTATTAGTTTGGGAAATTTAATGTTAGGTTTGATTTCATGTTTCAAATTATATATTGGGGTATACATCGGAAAAAATTTCTTTGCAGGGTGTCTCATCACTTAAATGAAATCCACGAGAAGTTTAACCTTCCTTTAATTAAGGAAGTTTACTATATGTGTGTGTGTGTGTGTGTGTGTGTTTCATTCTGAAGTATTTTCACCTCTTTCATTCAGAAATATTACGCGTTTTTGTTTTTTTACCTTTACTTAGTTGGAATAATGATTTATTATGAAATATGGTACATGGTGAGCATCTTCCAACTTCCAAGAAGAATATCTTTTGAGTACACAAGTTGAAAAAAAATGCATGTTTCAGTAGGGAAAAGAATAAATGAATACAAGATTCCCTTAGATGGGAATAAATCTTTCTCGTGAAATAAACTAACCAATTAACATGCTTCATGTTTTCCTAGATAAAAACAAAGACATATTTTTCTATTGATTATCTTCTATACAACTCATGATGAACATGACATCACCTTTAAAGCATATTTTGATTCCATAAATTTCTATAGTATTATAATTACTTCCCTCAAATCTTTTCTACAGATTCTTTCCTCTTTATTTTGTACTTCGTCTTCTCCTCCAACTTCGCCTCTAATTCTCTTTGGTCATTCCTCCTTGTGTTTTTCTTCTGCAAGTCTTTTCTATCCAATTTGGTTGTTCCCGTTGTGAAAAAAAAGGTAGGTTTTTTTTGTATACCTTATCATTTATGCATGTGTTTGAATATATGATGTATGAAGGTTTTTATTTTTTGTTGATTGCTTGATCTATGATGGTGATTTCTTTTAAAATCACCCCTTTTGACTACTAGCCACTTTGAATGAAAATTTAAATTTTAAAATTTCTTTTGCCTTTAACAGGATCTATAAATCATGGATGCCCATTTCCAGTTCATGTACATTGTTCCACGGGACTTCGAAGTATTCGGTTTTGTAAGGAATTTTTAGGACTGGTTAAATCAATGTTGTGTCTTATTTATTCTGTAGATTTTGTCTCTTGATGCCATTTTTTGTTTACGGTTTAGGCCCTAACACGTCGGTTGAGTCAATGTTTCGGTGGATACGTTCCAAAAAGAATCAAACTTGAAACTCCGATTTGAATGTATGAGGTACTAATGGCATAATATCATAACGGAGAGATAAATTTGTCAGGAAGAAATTTGTTGCGATGTGCTAGGGAAATTTGTATCACTTGGAGAAGCCGTGTATTTTTTCAGTATATAGGAAATGATACCATGACATACACAAATTTTGGCTTGGATGGTTGTCAAACTGTTCTACCAAGGCCCTTCACTCCATTTTTCATGCGATGCATTTTTAAAGTGAATGAAGATGGCTATGAATGTTTCACTATAAGTGTTATAAATTGAAATTGTGGAAATATATCAGATTTGTTATGTTACTTCTTCATTATCTACTCAATGTCATCAGTTATTTACAGTTGAATTGGATAATGTACAAAAATTTATGTTTTACGTGGTTCCTGGTGATTTCTTGCAATCAATTATCATGGCAAAAACAAAATTTGTTTATGTTCAATTTGGAGGAAGCAATTATGAATTTCGATGGCACTCCGATTTGACTGGTACTGGGTTCTGTGGATTCCACTGGAGGAATTTCATCAGTTTTCAAAAGCTTAATAGAAGGCACACCTGTTTGCTGACCTATGTGCACGAAACTTTCTTCCTGCTTGATATTTTTGATGAGCATGGATCCGATATACACAGCTCTGATTGTGCCACTGATTTGTGTTCGAGTAAGTTAATACGTTATATTATCTTATTGTTAATCATCTAAAATAAATGCTTTTATGACTTTGAAAGGTAATTATGTCTAAAATTGTGTAATTTATTATTTAATTTCTTTACATTCAATTTTTTTCAGGCTCTGATGACCAGGCTTAATTCTCTGCATATGTGGTAGTTGACTGAAAGTTGTTCGATGATTGTAATATACACTTTAAATTTCAGTTTTGAAAGAAGATTGGACTTCTTTTAAATGTAGGTTCATTTCCACAAATTTTGTTTGTCAAGTGGAAATGAACTATGACAAATTATGAATTTGGCACTCATTTCTGTATGACTTTCTATAAAGTTGCGTATTTTGTTTAATTTTTGCATACTATTGCATATTACAAAAAGTACAATGTTTAAATCGTGTATAATGTCGTAATTTGTACTTTGAATACCACTTTATAATATAAATCATGGTTATCGCAAAAAAAATTAATGGGACGAAAATACCGCAAATTGTATCTTCCGTTTGGAATCAAGCTCAAACAAAACGCCGGCCAAATTACAGGATTTCCAAAATTATTGGGACAAATATAAACCCCATTGCAAAATCAAATTAGCCCTATGGAAAGGCCAGTAATTGTATCTTCTGTTTGAATTCCCTTTTATAAAGCCTGTGTGTGAAACAATTTCTTTCTGCAAAATAATTAGACAAAATATCAATGACGAATCCAACCTCATGCATGGTTCATGCAAACAATGACCAATATCCAGTGGAGGAGACAAGATTTTAAGTTAGGGAGTGTGAGAAAAAATCAAGAGACAGGTACACTTCAAATTTTAGAAATATAGCTTATTGTTTAAAAAAATTTTTAGAAAATTTGATAAATAACCATTTCATTAATATATCACATTTTTTTGCCTACTACAAGTTATAACGTTATGTGGTACAAATTTATTTATATGATGTGTATTTTTATGGAAAATTTTAGAACAAAAATTTGTAAATATGATTAGGTTTTTATACTCAAGAAACAAACATGATTCTTTCTAATACATCAACACCACTTCAACCAAAAAAACATATATATATATATATATATGTCAAATTTCATATGACCATGTGTCAGGGACATCTTTGAGAGGACATCTATGTTCTCTGAACACATTTCTTGTTTACATTTTGTTGTGTTATTCAAGCTGCCTCAATTTATCATTTACTTCCATTTTGAAGTCGTGTTCCATAGGACCTAATAGTTTATATAATTCGGATGTGAAGGTGATTGATGAAATTTCTTAACACCAAAGAGCTTTGGTTTCATCGCACAGAAGTCATGATTGTGCATGTTGTTGGAAATCGCATGACTCGGGGTACGTTAAAAAATTATTTTGATCCCTCTTTTTATGTTGGCTAGGGTTGTATAGTGGTCATCATAGCCTACCAACTATGTGCGTGTTCATCAGTTAGATAGTTTGCCTGATACAGAGCTGAGTTCCGAAAATATTACCCACGGGCTAGATAATTAAAGAATTGTTACTTGCCGCCATAATATTTTCATGCAGATGATTCATAACTGATACCATTTGCCATCAATGATCTCCACTCAGTTTGGACATGCAACTCTTACGTAATCCCTTTCTCCATTCTGCTATAAATTGGCACTCCAGTTTGCGTCATTTACAATATCTCAAATACACAATCCATATTTTTTTATTTTTACCAATTTCCAAACGTTAAACAATACTATATTATCTTCTTTATCTACCAGCCAAACCCACATATACGCTCCTCCTTTGAATGTATTCATCCAGTCTCTTTTTCCAATCATTGTAACTTTTGCCATGGCAAACCCAGGTCATCACCATCAGTGTGTTGATTTCCTGACTAACCTCCCTAATGACCTCATGGAGGATATTATGATGAGGGTAGATCTTTCTACTGTTGGAAGAGCACGTTGCGTTGAGAGGTCCTGGAAAGCTATATGGCCAGACATTGGTTTTCGTGATCGTTTTTGCAAGTTGAGAGTTTCAAATGGTCCATCGTCCCTGTTGTTCATAAGTCAGCAAAATATGTACACCTCTCATTTTCCACAGAGAATGAAGTTTGTCGGTGCCAACACAGTTGATGACACTGCTGATATCTATTGTAAGTCGAATCTCCTTTCTGTACACCCGTGGTTTGTGCAGGAGGTGCTTCCAATTACCTGCAATTTGGTGTGCATGAAGTTGCATTCTCAACTCATCATTTTGAATCCTCAGACCGGTCAGCAACGCATGATTGCTGGACCATTTCGTCCATCATTTGTGAACCATTATTGGAATGCCACTTTTGATTTCGTTGAATCTATGGGCATATACTGCATTATTGCTTTACGGCAATTACCAAATGGAAGAATACATGCCAAGTATTTGTCATGGATGCCATATCAATCCCTCAATAGGGTTGTTTTTGAGTCCTGGCAACTTATGAATTGCTTATGTCCCCGTGTTATTATGCCTGTTGGCCTATTTGTTGGCGACACGGTGTATTGGTGCATAAACAAAGTCATCCATTGGCTAATTGATCAGATTAGTAGAAGGGAACTCCTAATAGCTTTCAGCTGTTCATCACAAACATTCAACATTATCCAAGCTCCGAACGATGAACATTGGAAGACGTATCGTTATGGTTTCTACAATAGCACTAAGCTATTGAATTTGCAGGGGAAACTGTGCGTTGTTGATGAAGAATTTATATGTTTGACTGATTGTTTCAAGTGTGGGAATGGACAAATGATGGTGACGGGAACTTGCGCTATCATTAGCGTAAGCTACATTTTGTGATGCTGCATTTTACGGGTCCAACATTGCCTGTACCGTTGCGCGGGCCTTTTTCATGACATTGGAATCGTCTTGTATTTGTTTGTCCAAAGTCATCAAGCGATGGAGAGTTCATTGTTTTTGGGCCCGATAGGTATATGTATTACATGTACAACCCTCTCAACGGTAATTTTAATTTGCACGTGAAACCGGGAATTATACTAGCACTGGACGATGTTGCTGCTGGATTTTTCTGCCATAGCTTAGTGCGTATTTGACTTATGGAACTCATATTGGGCTAATCTTTTGTGATCCTTTTGCTATTATGAATTCTGTGACCTAGGGAAAATGGTTTTTTGCATTAGCCTGATCTTTTGTCATTAGTGTGCCACTAAATTTAGTTTCGCGTTTTTTTGTACTTTTAGTTTTTTATTATGCTTTTGTAATGTATCATTTTCATTTCATAATGTATGATCATTACTCTATGCATTGTTTCACGTACTTTGTCATGGAGTATTGCACTAATCATAATGACGAACTGCCGCTAGTTTTTGTGCAACTTTCAGAATATGCTATCCTCTTCTGTTACGTGTAACATATGTCCTTTTTACAGCAATACTGTAGGATAAGTTCCCAATATTGTAATGAATGAGCTCAATCCAATGACAAGTTTTATGATTAATCATATGAAATGTGAAAACCAATAATTCTATGGCCGCGCAAATAAAGTGGAGGGAAAGTTTTGAATTAAATGTTATTTGAATTTTCCATATCAATTTTGGAGATCATAGTTAACAAATCGAGTGGCATTGGGAACTCGTACAAAAATCGTATTGTATCGATGCCTTTAAAAAAAAGACAGCTAATTTCATTTTTTCGAAATGCTTTGCAAATTCCGGGAACCAATAACTGACACTACATGATTTAGGTGCGTTTATTTTTTCACATAAACAATTAATCATTATACTGGTTTTAAAAGCACAACTACATTGATTTTGTCGAAATGAACTTAAAATTTATGAAATCAATAACAGCACACACACATAATTTATGTATGATTATTTGTTCACTTTAATATTGGTTCACTTTCTCACGTCATGTGATATGAACATTATCATGTGTTTTTTCATCGACATCTAGGTTTCATGGTTCATGTAGTACATACTCAATATAGGCCGCATGTTTGTACGTTGTCTAACAATCACCATTTTCAAAATTGTGTTTGTGAAGTTCATATTCAGTTTTTATCATACTTATGAAAATTGAAGTTCCAGTTTAACCGTTCTAATCACCTTTCATATTTGATTCAAGATTTTTGGTCACTATTAAACTGTTTTATTCATATAAGACATGGTTTCCACTCCATCTTCACAGGCCAGGAAAAAGCGAAAATTGTACTTTGATGAAAGTAGCACCAAAATTCAGACAACAGATTTATCACATCTAACCAAGTTTGGTTCGGAAAATCATCCGGTTCATATGCACCATGTTCAAACGGGTTCATCATTCTGTGTACCTGAAAACAGAAATCATCTCCATTCCTTGGTTATTTCATCATTCAAGAGGCTGAGTGGTTTTGGTCCCAATGTTGTTTCACTCCAACATAGATCTCCTCTTCGAGAAATATCCAATGGTCGGTTTTAAATATTGTAAATTATTTTCTCTTTATCCTGGTTATATTGATTATGGTATAACGAATTTTAAGGACATCTTATAATTTTTAATTACGTCCCCTATAGTATGTAATATGCAGATGTCCAATCGAATCTCCAAGGTATCTTCTGCACTTCCAGGATGTGGTACTCTAAGTGCAGGCAAACATGTTTTAGGGAAATATCCTCCACTTGACACATCAAAAATGATTTCGAGTGCACCGTTGTCCAACTCAACTGTTACCAATCAAGAATGTAAACAAGTGCATGTACTAAGTGAGAATCCATCGCATGATGGGTTACAATATCATCCATCAGGTATAGAAATTTTTGCAATAATTGTTACTTTATAGTACTAATATGATATGATATACTGTATAATTTACCAACGAGGGAGAGACCTTATGGTTAGACACAAACTTTTTCAGGTATCTCTTCCACACCTTAGTGTTTATCGGGAGTTTCAACGTTATGTACGCAGTCTATTATTACCAATGGTGTAGAGAACGGACCAGAATTATGTGGTAGTGGTGCTTCCCATGTAACGCGACAGTGTTGTTTTCATATACCTTCATCGTCAGTTTCACCCAATTCTTCAAATGGGGAGGATTCAATATTTAGTTTCATGGAAACGACAAATAAGTTGAGATCTGGAAAACACAAAATCCGGCCAAAGCGTTGCAGTAACATTTATTCGATTACCATTAATGTATATTCTGAAGACCGCAATGATGAGCAAGATGACAATCAGCGAGCCATTTCTAAAGGTGACTTTATTTTCTTTTTCTATAATTTGAATGATTCATATTTTCATTTATGCGCATGTTTATTATTAATAGGGTTGTTAGTTAAAAAATGTAATGTATAATTTCACAGAATATGCCGATATCGGTGATCCAACTTACTATTGTCAATCATGTGGTGCAATTATGTGGTTTGGAGAGAAAGTATGAACTGATCCAAGGAATTCTGATCATTCTTTCTCATTGTGTTGTATGCATGGTAAAGTCCAGTTGCCTTTACTAAAGGAACCTCCCTCTCTGTTAATGGGTTTAGTGACTAAACGAGATGCTAAGAGTAGGCACTTTCAAAAGAATATAAGGGCATACAATATGATGTTTTCATTTACTTCTATGGGGGGAGTTGACAAATCAATTAATAAAGGACGTGGACCTCGGATGTTCAAAATTCATGGCCAAAATTACCATCGAATTGGGAGTCTACTTCCAAATCATGGACAGTCACCACAATTTGACCAACTTTACATTTATGATACAGACAATGAGATTGTGAATAGAGTCAATGCAATGAGGTATGATATTCTCTTCTTTTTGAATTATTTATTTTCAACTATGATTATCATGTCATATGATATATTTGAGGTAACAAGTCATTTACTGAATACGTTTATAATTTATTTCTTTCTTTTGCTGATATGTACTAGTACAACAAGTACTTTATCAGATGGTACAGAGTCCACATTTGACAGGGAAATAGTGAATGATCTAAAAAAGATTCTGGATGACAACAACATACTTGTTAAGTGTTTTAGGATGGCAAGGGATCGATATCTATATCGTCCCCATGATGAACAAGGTTTCAGGTTGAAATTGATAGGCAGAAGAAATAATGATGGAAGAACTTGTAACCTACCCGAGGTTAATGAAATTGCAGCATTAGTTGTCAGTGATCTCGAGAGGGGAATGGAAAATAGGGATATCATTCTCGAACTCAAGAGTGGAAAACTACAACGCATCAATGAGCTACATCCTTCTTACCTTGCCTTACAGTACCCTCTCATATTTCCTTATGGAAAGGATGGATTTAGAGTTGACATTCCGCTTAAATGTAGTGGAGAAGGTATGAAGAGGAAGAAATTGAGCATGAGGGAATTTTTTGCTTATAGGATTCAGGAGAGAGCAAACGAGAAATCAACCATGTTGCTTTCGAAAAACTTGTTTCAACAGTTTTTGGTTGATGCATATACCATGGTGGAGTCAGAGAGGCTGTCGTTTATTCGATATCAACAACATTAGTTAAGGGTGGAGTCATATAAAACTTTACATGAAAATGCTCAAGCTGGTGCTACTGATGGATCTGCTGTAGGGAAACCTGTAATTCTGCCCTCTTCATTTACTGGTGGTGCAAGATATATGCAACAAAACTATCGAGATGCAATGTCTTTATATAGGTGGTTCAGATATCCCGATTTATTCCTCACATTCACATGCAATTCAAAGTGGCCTGAAATATCAAGGTTCTTAAGAAAGAGGAAATTGAAACCTGAAGACAGACCAAATATAGTTTGCAGGGTTTTCAAAATGAAACTGGACAATTTGATCCGTGATTTGAGAAAACATAAGTTGTTTGGTCGTGTAAATGCAGGTGGAAGTCTTCTTCTAAATCACATCTCATTTCAACAATATAAGCAGTATTAGTTGTTTTATCATTCGTATGATTTCTTATTGTAGTATGTATTTGTGGTTGCAGTTGTGTATACAGTCGAATTACTGAAGCGTGGTCTTCCTCATGCACACATCTGTTTGTGGTTACATCCCGATGACAAGTTGCGGAATACTGATTTGATGGACAAATTCATTTCAGCTGAGATCCCTGATAAAGAATCAGATCTTGAAGGTTACAAACTCGTAATGGAATTGATGATGCATGGTCCCTGTGATGCAGCTAATCCAAAATGCCCTACATGAATGATAGCTGTTGTTCAAAATGGTATCCAAGAAGCTTTCAAGAAAATAGTTCTATTGATCATGAAGGTTATCCTATATATATGCGACGAGATGATGGTCGTATTATAATGAAAAATGGGCATCCATTGGACAATTGTTCTATTGTTCCGTACAATCTCATACTTTTGAAGAAGTATCAGGCGCATATAAATGTTGAGTTCTGTAATCAATCACGAGCAATCAAGTATTTGTTCAAGTATATTAATAAAGAGCCAGACAGGGTGACTGTTGGAATTGTTCCCACGGGCCATGGAAATTCATCTGTCAATGACACTGCTACTGCTACAGGTTCTGATGAGATCAGTAGGTATTATGATTGTAGGTACGTTTCAGCTTGTGAAGCTGTTTGGAGGCTGTTCCAATTCGATGTTCATTACAGGACACCGGCTGTTGAAAGACTGAGTTTTCATTTGCCTGGTCAACAGAGCATTTTTTTTATGATCAAGATGACTGTATTGAAAGTGTTCTATGCAAGCCTTCAGTAGGACATTCAATGTTTTTAGAGTGGATGGATTGTAATAAGAAATTTCCAAAGGCAAGGGAGCTTACTTATGTTGAATTTCCATGAAAGTTTGTCTGGAAAGCTACAGAGAGGCAATGGGTTCCAAGGCAACGCGGGCAAACT